CCATTTCGGCACACCCCTCACACGCTTCGTGGCCCCATAGGGAGCTCCCTCTCAGTCGTTCAACCTGCTTTGCGGCACTCGTAACTGCATATGGTTGGGTCCATCGCCAGGATAAGTGTAGATTAAGCTCGCGTGTGCCTCGATACTTGGAACCATCTCGGGGCTCTCTTGGGGTTCCATCGTCTGCCAATCGTGTGCGCTCTTTCACCATCCGCCTTCTCTCCGTAGCACGTGCAACTGCAGCTCGATCGGGCGACGATCTCGGCCTTTTTGCTCCACTTACAGTCAACCTACATAGCAGGGGCGTGCAGCCTTCCCAGGGGCAACCTTTGCATCCTTGCCTCCTCGGCCCACCCTTCGCCGCTTTCGCTGACCGCGCCCCGCTCGGAAGGCCTCGAAAAGGGCGTCCCAGGCCCTTGCGCCCTCGTCGTGCGCCCTGTCTATGTTGGTTGACTGCAGCGCGGCGGCATGCCAGCGAAGCGCAAGGTCGACGAGGCCAACGTCTCGAAGGCCGGGAAGGCCAAGGTCGACGCGGTCGACAAGGGCAAAACCTTCGCGGAGCTGAAGAGGTGGGGGGATCAGTGCACGGTCGAGGGGTGGACGGGGAAGCTGGTCGGGCTCGCGTGGAAGGACGGCGCGGTGGAGGGGACGCGGCACTGGGCGCCGCCGCAGGGGGGCGTCGGCTAGGACGAGGACAAGGACAAGGACAAGGCCAAGGGTGGCGCCGAGGACCAAGGTCGGGGCGGCGCCGAGGACATGGGTGGCACCAAGGACAAGGGCGGCGGCCGCAAGGACAAGGTCGGCGGCAGCAAGGACAAGGTCGGCGGCAAGCGCAAGTGACCAGCTGGCAGTAGCCCAGTTGGCAGCTGGCATGGGCGGCGGCCCATGCGCCTCGAACGCCCTCGCTTTTTGACGGTGAGGAAAACGAGAGAAGAGGAGGGGGCGAATGATCATACTGAGGAGGGGGTGGAGGATGGAGGAGACTGATATGGAGGAGGGGCAGCAGCAGCAATGACAGCAAGCCCTCGGCTACATATCGTCATTGACCCATTATTGACCGTTGCTACTCCGTTGTCCTCCTGCGCCGCATCTTGCCCACGTGGCCTTTCCCCCTTCCAATGTGCGCGCTCGCCATTTCGATTGTCCTCCCCCCTCCCTTCGTCCGTCTTCACCTGCTGCGCAATCTTGCGTTCCTGCGCCTCTGCCATTCCGATGTCGTCCGCCCATCTCCCCCCCGCTGGCCAGGAGTTCACCCGCTGGCTGAAGCGCAGCGCTGTTGCGACCGACGACGAGCCCATCTCCACCCCCAACCCCAAGGGCCACAAGAAGGTCGCCGTGAGCCAGGCCAAGCACACCAAGCAGAAGGTCGCCGTGAGCCAGGCCGACGACAGCGACTTGTGGGATTCCGACGGCGACGAGCGGGCGCTCTCTTTCGCCGCCAAGGCGAAGGCCGTGCCAGCCAAGAGGCGCAGTTGAAGGCCCGACGGGGGGTAGTGGAGGAGGAGGAGGAGGAGGAGGAGGAGGAGGAGGAGGAGGAGGAGGAGGAGGAGGAGGAGGAGGGGGGGAGGAGGGGAAATTCATGCAGGAATGGAGGAGAATGGAGGACAAAACTGAGGATGAACAATGAGGAAGGTGACTGAGAATGGAGGGGGGGGCGGGGCGAGAATGAGGACGACTTGGAGGAGGGGGAGACGATGGGGAGGGGGAGGAGAGAGAGGGACGACAGTTAGACAAGGAGAATAATGATGGAGGCTGCACCTCCCTGCCAAGTCGACTGAATCCTCCCCGAGAGCCCCCCGCCCAATGCAACGAGCGCTGCCCCTTTGACGTTCCCTTTATGTTACCACCTCTAACCCAGCCATGTCCAGCCGCTCGCTCTCCGCGAGTGTCCCTGAGCGCCCTCCCGAGACTCAACTTGACCATGCCATCCCACTCTGCACTCTCCTCGTCATGATTTAGATGTTGACATCCCCCCCCCCTCTCCCGCGCGCCCTTCCCATGTCAAACTTGTTGCATTCCCCGCCCCCCCCCCCCCTTCCCGCGCTATTCCCGCGCCCCGCTCGCCGCTCACCTGCGCCCGCTCACTTTTCCCTGGCCCCCCTGTCCCGCCTTGCACCCGTCAAGAGTTAGCAGGCGCAGCTCATGGAGATCAAGAGCCAGCACAGGGAGGAGAAGAAGAAGCAGGTGGAGAAGACCGCGCAGCAGAAGACGATCAACAAGCAGAAGACTGTAGGCGCCGGATCAGGTCGAAGCTCTGCCCATTGTGCTGCTCGCCCAAGGTCGGGGGAACACCCAACCCTCGGGACCTTGACAATCACGCACGGGAGTAGGTTTTCGTATATATGTTTCAAGGATGAGAACGGAAAGCCTCGCTTGTACATTCAGGTGAGCGAGTCGCAATCGCCCCAGCACAGCTCGCCTATCGCGCAGATTATGAAGCGTGCTTGTGAGCGCGATTTACATCAGGATGCTGCCGCTGCGTACAGGGCGAGCCTCCTGTAATCTATTCTATAGAGGGGGTGGCATGATAAGGGGGGAGTCTCTCAGAAGGGTCATGATAGATGAGGAGTCTCGCAGGGAGGGGTCCAAGAAGTTCAATCCTGTTTCAAGGACGTGCTCGCAACAGAGAGTGCAAGTCTGTTGCGTGCGAGGTGTTAATTCCTGGTGTAGTCTGGTTGACTACCCAATGGGGTGACAGGCCTTCACAGGCCTGCAAATGATGCTTGCTGTCGGGGAAGGCACATTATTGGCGTGTTTCGCCTGTGGAAGCCACCTGAGCTGCCGCCATGCCACGCCCAGCCCTCGACGTCGCGGCTGCGCGCCCCGCTGTCGAAACGTGCCGACGCATCGCGACTGCCCTCACCTCGCCCGACCCCGCTTCCACCTCGCCGCTACCTCCGCCAGCCTCGACCAACCTCTATTCATTCAACGTCGCCCCGACCTCGCCTCTACCTCCACGGACGTAGTCAGACCCCCTTCCCCGTCAATATTAGCCCCGCTCTCGCCCAGAGGCAAATGTTTCGAGACCAAACCTCGCAAGACGCATCGCCCCAAGGGGAACTCGCCCGCAGCGCAAGCAACCCTGCGGCAAATCGCCCAAACACAAATCACCCAACGACACATCGCCCCAAACCAACGACACGCGCGCCCCTCTAGACCAACCTCGAACCGGGCAGGAGGAGCAGGGTTGGATGGCGCAGCGGGGGAAGAGGGGGTAAAGGGAAGGGGCCCCAGATCACGGATATGTCGGGATAGGGCTGGCGGGAAGGGAGCGGGGGCAGGAAGGAGGGGGAGGGGGGGGTGGCCAAGAGGATACAGCGGGGCAGATCTTGTCTTTCTGGTGAGCCCGATGCGGCCACGCGGCCCGACGTGCTGCATTTGGGTGCGATTTCGGGCGCCCCAACCCGCCGTTTGTTTGGCCCTGGCGCGCGCGCACCAGAACAAATGACAGCCGTGTTTCAGTGCCCACAAGGTTCGTGTTTGATCGGGGACGATAACCGATCTTACGCTTATTTTACGTAAGTCAAGCATAAGACACACATACTCCTACGTAAGACAAAAACGTCTTACGTAAGACAAAAACGTCTTACGTAAGACAAAAACGTCCTACGGTTGACTTACGTAAGATAAACGTAAGAGGTGTGCTGTATACCTGAGTTCACGAGCCGTTGTCGGAGCGCTCGAACTCGCGCCACGGTTGTGCCCGCGACGTGTCGTTCTCATCACACTGGCAACGGCAATTCTTGGAAACCACTGCCCAGCCATAGCCGTTCCGTGCTCGAGCTAGACGGCCGAGGGGCAGTTCTCAGATTTCGGAGCGGGGAATTCACGGAGAACAGGTTCTGCTTGAGGAATGGCGAAGGCTGCTTGCAGCGTGAGGAGGGCCGCGATGAAGCAGAAGGCCAAACCGAAAACGAAAGCCAAGCGCCAAGACATGTCCGTGAGGGTGCGCCCTGCTGCAAATATGACTGCTGATGGCAAACCGTGGGCGGATAAATCCAAGGGTAGATTTTCAATGACCGAATGTATTCAGGACTGAGTTTTCTCTGGCGCGTGTCTGACCCAACGCGTGTCCGATGGGGAAGGGCCAGCACGCTGAAACCAGACTCAACTTCCCGTCGCCAGTGCATTCATTGCCCCCTTCCCCCCCCCCCCAGATGGGACTGGAAGAAGCTCGACGACCACGCCCTCGGCCTTGCCACGCTGGGCGAGAAGATCGAGCTCTTCCAGAAGCACGGGGGCCCGAACGACAAGGCCGCGCTCGAAGCTGCGTTCAAACCTGATGAAGTCAGGCCTGCCGCTTGTAAACCTCGTGGCACCTCGTGAACACTTGCCTACCAGGCCCACCGCCTGCTGCCGCCCCCCCGCCCCCCCAGCCCCCCCCCCCCCCCCCCCCCCCCCCCCTCCCCCCCCCCCCCCCCACCACCACCACCACCACCACCCCCCACCCCACCACCAATATAAAACCACCGGGCCCCCCCCCACCTCCCCCACCTCGCCCCACCCCAACCCGCCGCCCATTTATATGGCAAAGCACCCCCCCATGCGAGATCAATGGCGTAAACCTCTTCCCAGATACCAGATGAAGAATGGGCCTGATCGTAGTTGTTCCTCCCGCAGGGCCTTGCACGGTCGCTTCAAGACCGCTCGCAAGCTTGTGCCAGATGCTCTGGCTGCCTGGCAGGAGGCTTCTCATGGGTCCAAAATGATGACACGACCAGCGTTGAACGAAGCAAATCTTGACGCTCCGCGTATCCCCACTCAACCCACCAACCTCCCTAACCTCCCTGCCGCTGGCGCTTTCCTTCCGATTTCCGCCCTGCGGCTGAAAAAAAAAATCTAAAATACCCCCGACCATGTCGCCCCTCGCGCGTACGCACCGCCCCCTTGTCCCCGCGGGCCGCAGCCCGACCGTGACCGCCCGCCGCTGGCGCTTCCGCCAGGTTGCTTTATATTTATTTATTTATGTAATATATAATCTAATAAAATATTAAGATAGATATTATAATATATATTAATATAAAGATGATATATATATATAATATATAGAATATATCGAGTATCCCCGCCAGCTCATCCAGAATTGATTGCAAGTTCTCTCGGGGCCTCATGTATGCTATCTTGGGCCATGCTCTGCTAGGGGCTGTCGGAGGCTATCCTGAGCCATGCTCGGCTATCTTGGGCCATGATGAGGCTGCCGTGAGGCACCTTGGAAGTCTCTAGGAGGCTATCTTGAGCAATGCTTGACTATCTTAGGCCTTTATGAACACCAGATTTGCCTATCTAGGGCCTCTTGGAGCCATAGTGGGCCAAACAGGGCGGGGTGGAGGGTCTTTGGGGAGAGGCCGGGAGGCCTCTCGGGGTCATCTTGGCCCCATGGCTCAAAAAGATGTGGCACCGCAATTGGCGCCGCCCCTCTCGGGGGCTCTCAAACGACATCTTGGGCCCTCTTGGAGCGCTCGTGGGCGCCTCTTGGGCGATCCGGGGGCCGTCTTCGGCCTTCTTGGGCCCCTCTTGGTCCTCTTGTGGGCCATCGTGGTGCCGCATTGAAGCTTCAAACGCCCATCGGAAACGAAAAGGCTATAATGCCAAACGCAATGATTGTCCTTAGGATTTGGAATGGTTTTTGCATCTTGGATGGCGCCGTGGAAGGCTCGGGGGGCACTTGGATCCGCCCTGGGGCTGTCTTGGGGCCTCTTGGGGGTATGTCGGAGGCTATCTTGGCCCATCTTGAAGTAGCATGGGCCATCTTGGAGGCCATCTTGCGACTTTGAAGCCCTCTTGCGGCCTTCATGGGCCATCTTGGACGCCGCTGCGCTCCCCCCCCCCCCATCCCCCCTCCCAGGCCCAGGAGGGTGGGTGGGTAGAGAGACGAGTTATACCTCCAGCGCCCAGAGGGCTGGTGGGATAGGAAGGCGAAGCAGAGAAGGCAGCTGGGGGCGGGGGAGGGGGAAGCTGCATGGCCGCGCAATGCGAGTGGGCATCCCAGGGGAGGCTGGCCCCCATGACGACGCGGGAGGGGGGGAACTCGGATGCGGAGGTCGAGGCCAATGGAGGACAACGAGGGCATGATACTGAGGGGGGTGATGAGGCTGCAAAGGGGGGCGATCTGGAGGACGGAGCCGACGAGGAGGAGGAGGATGAGGATGAGGATGATGAGGAGGATGCAGCTGAATATTATGACCCCCCTCACCCCTCCCCCCCCCCACCCCGCCCGCTCCGCATCCGTTCGCCAGGTTGACGTGGCGCCAGCTGGAGAGGGGAAGAACACTGGGAATACCAAGCTGCTGATGGCCTACCTGGTCGATCCAGAGCCCGGGGACTCGTTCGCGCAGGTGGCTGCCAAGATGACGTTTTCGGAGAGCGCCGAGCAGAAGGAGCCCTGGATTTCGCACAAGCAGCTCATGGGCGCGTTCTCGGAGTCGGAGGCGGAGGAGATGATATCGGAGCAGAAGATCCAGGTCCGATTCCGTTTG